TACACTTACATAATGGTGATTAATGTGCACAGCTAAAATTCATATAAAAAAAAAAAAAAAAAAAAAAAAAAAAAAAAAAAAAAAAAAGATTTTTTTAAAGAATTCTAAGATAAAAAATGAAAGAGGAAAATAATAAAAAATTAAATTTAATGTTAAAAAATTAGTGCTTTACCATTCGGTGCAAATTAAGAAGTTTTATAATTATAAATCTTTTTTGTTTTATAAAATAATCCTAAAAAAAAAAATTACAGTTTTTTAATAAAAAAAAATTCAGTGCGCAATTTCATAAAAATAAAAAAAATAGCTTCAAAGGGAAAATTTATTTATATAATTTGATATCGGTTCATTTAAGGAATTTACCTAACACAAATCGTAATTTTTCTTATATATTATTTTTTTAAGTTTTTATCGAAGTGATAGCAAAAAATCATGAATAAACGAAGTAACAACACGTAATCTACTATCTTTGTTTTAATTTATATTTCACTTCTTTTTCTCTTTGTTAAACACTATTCTTGTTTCTATTATTTCTTCTTAATAATTTAAATGTAAAAATAATTCCATATATTCGCATATTTCTTCTTATTTCTAAAATATAAGCACCTTATATAGTGTTACTGTGCTAGCATAAAATTTTTTAAATAATTCAAAACTTACTCAATTTTTTTAGTTATATAATCACAGTTATAGACTTTATTTTATTAAATTTTATTATATATCGCAATAATATTTATATCTAATATAAAAAGGTATGAACACACATTATGTTTCATTTTATTTCCCATTATTAATAAAACATATAAACCTTGTAACATTTTTACACATCATTAAATTTCACTCAATTTTTTCTAATGCTTTAATATATAAACTAAAAATTAAATATTTGCTTTTACATATATTTTATTTTTGCATTTTTTATAATACTATTTATTTTCATATATGCTAAGTCATTTAAGTATAATGAACTCGAAGAAAATTATATGCACTCATCTTACACTTCACCTATATTTAACACTATTAAATATATTTTAACCTATGTTATTTCATAATCCTAATCATATATAAAATTCAACGTTTTATGTGTTATTTATCTCTATTTTTATCAAAGGAGTAACTATAAATTACACTTCATTAATTTTATTTTGTTTTGTTGTGTTTTGTTTTGTTTTGTTTTGTTTTATTTTGTTTTGTTCTATTCTATTTTTTTTTTTTTTTTTCTTCTATCCTTATTTTTTCCTTAATTTTATTTTTATTTATATTTTTATTTTATTTTTAGTTTTGCTTTTATTTTATTTTTTTTTTTTTTTATTATTTTTATATTCATTTTATTTTATTTTTATTTACTTATAATTTAATATAATTTAATCATATTTATATATCTATCTACATATATACACATATTATATATAATGAAATAACTTTCTGAAAGATAAAGGCTCTATATATCGATTTCATTTCTCTTACTAAAATTCAACAGTATTACATTTATGTGTTATATGATATATAATAGTATTCAAAATTAGATAATATATAATATTGATTACTTTATATCATAAACACATTACTATCACGAAAGTTTTAATAATTACAAATAAAAATTACATTGTTCTCATTTTTACATTTTTTTTTTATTGTCATAAAGAGTACTATATAATTATAAGTTCTTATTGTAATTTTAACTACCTAAATATGAAAAATCTCATTTTTCTTATTGTTTTTCCTCAAAATTTTGCGTTAAGTCTGTATTTTTTTTTAATTTATTTAATAAGTTCTTATCACCATAAATAATAAATTTTAAATTTTATATAAAATTATCTGAATAATTAAATTATTTATGAACATTTGTGAAAATTTTTCTGTATTTATCATAGTAATTTCGATTATTAATGTTATCTATATATTTTATCGAAACTACAAAATAATAAATATTAAAAGGTAAATATAAATTTTAATGATATTATTTAAAAAAAAAAAAAAAAAAGCAATTATTTTGCATCTACTGTTAAAATTTACATTAAGTAAACAAAAAATAATTTTTAATAAGTATGAAGTTATATAAGTTATATAGTTTTAAAAGTTTGGTATTATATCTTCAAACTAAAATTTTCGATGAAATAATAAAGATCATATATATATATTTCATATGATCTTCTTACCTTTAAATAAGAAATATGTATTCATAAGTACATAATTTTTTTTTCTTCTTTTTTTGAAGTTTTCTTTTATTTTTTACAATAAAATCAGTGAAATTACTCTTAATTCTTTCGGTATTATTAAAAAAATATTTTACTCGTAATTGGAATTATAATGTCTCATGTAACAACATAAGCATATAAAAGCTAAAATTAACACTATTTTCCAACTATGGAAAAAATATATAAAATGTATTTCAATATAGAAAAAAATCATAATAATTCCATTGTTAAATGAAATACTAACAAGACAGATTTGCTTAGAACCATTTACTTTAATATTACATATTTTACTTTTTATGTCTTTTTAGATATTTATATCTTAAAAATCATATTTTTTCTGTCAACTTATAATCCTTTTATTCTTTAATAAAATTATATATTTTGTTAAAAATATAAGTATACAGAAAAAAAAAAAAAAAAAAAAAAAGTATCTAACATAATATATCAAAATAAATATAAATGCTATAATATACATAACACTAAAATATGAATTTTCATTTCCTATTTCATTATATAATGCTATCTTAGTAAATTTCCTAAAAAGTGATACTTTTATAGGTTGATATTAACAGAAAAAGATATGGATAAATTATGTACCAATAAATAATTTTTACGTAAAACAATATGAATATCTTAGAATATTATACTTCATTTGAAAAATATAGATTTGATTTTTATTCTATATTTATTTTAAATTCTTTCTTCTTTAATATTATATTTTTCTTATATCTTTACTTCGCAAAAATACTTAATAACACTCAAAAAAATATGAAAAAAGGAGAAAAAAAATTTTTATGAAAGATGTTATAATTTAGAGATGTTAAGAAAGAAATAAATAATTTTAAGTCATTGATATGCTTTCAGATAAAATAGTTGTCCTAAAAGTACACTTATATACAGAATTATTGAAAAGAATAATTGTAGTCTTTTTTTTTTTTTTTTTTTTAATTAAAATTAAGGAACTTATTCTATAAATATATTTAGCTTATATATAAAAGAATCAATATCAACTATATAAGTATTCTTTTAAAAAAAAATACTTAAGATTTTTTCTATTTTAAAAATTTAATTTATATTACTATATCATACTTACAACTAAAAATTAAAATTTCATATTTTAACTTTTTATCATATTTTTTTTTTTTGTATTAATATTTATTATAATATTATTTATTTACAAAAAAGAAAAAAGTTAAATCATGTGGAAATTTTCTATTCAATTTTAAATACTCTAACATTAATTCTTTTAGTCCTTATTTAATATGTTTAACTTTATTATTGTTATAATTATTAAATATATTCATTATTTCTATTTCTTTTTTAATTTTCTAATTTTTTTTCATTATAGTTAATGTAATTTTAACAATTATGACAATAATATTATACATTGAAAAATTGTCACATTCTTATAATTAAAATTACAATTTTTTATTTGTTCATCTCTAAAATTTTTGATAAAAATTTTTTAAATCGTTAAGACAAATTTATTTACTTAATGTTAAATATTTATTTTAAGTATCCCTCACTGTTACGATCTTTATTATGGAGGTATAATTGATATTTTTGAATCAAAAAAGTTATATTTTTATATCATTGAACTTAATATTTTTACTATTTTTTTTTTGATTATTTGTAATTTATTTTATTTTTCTTTCATTTAAAAAATAAAAAAATGATTGCATGCTCAACTAAAATTTTCAATTTTTATTCTATTTAAAACAGTTACATTTATACATATTAACATTAAACTAAATTATCATCAATAAATGTATATAATTACAACAAAACCTTAAATAAAATGAAATTAAAATTTATCATTAATTATATAATCCCTAAAATAAATTTAATATATTATAATCTCCTATATTTATTGTGATAGCTTTCATGAAAATTTTATTATTTTTATGAATGCATATTTAACATTTTTTCATTATCATAATTTTATATATTTGTAATTTTAATAATTATTTTATGATAATTAATATATTTTGTATTATTCAAAAAAAAAAATTTTTTTAAAAATAATTATATGTTTTTTAATGCCATTTATTTCTTTTATATTTTTTTTTTTATATTGTTAAATAATCCTTATAAAATAAAATGATATAAATTAACATACAAAAAATTGAAACAGAACATTAAAATACTATAAAAGAATAAATAAAAAATAGAGACATTTTTTGTAAACGTGAGATAAAATGAATATACAAATCCCAAATAAATGTCAAGCTTATCAAATGTTCAATTTATATAAATTTTCATGAAAATAATTTACTTTAATGGTATTTTTATTTTATTGCATTGTAATATAATAAATAAGAATGCTATGTATCCATTTTTATATTTTTCATAGTTTTTTTTCTTATATAAAATTTATTTAATAAAACACTTAAATCTATATTTAATTTAATCAATGCATTTTAAATTGTTGCATGAAATTGGATATTTTTTATTCATAAAAATATAATTCTTTTAACAATTTTTATGAAGATTAAAAAAATGAAAACAAAATAATATTGCATTCAAATAAATATTTCTTACTATTTTTTATATTTTTGTAAAATTCAATATAAAAGAAAAAATTTATTCATCTTTTTTATTTTTAAATGATTTCCATAATATTATATTTTAATTTTTTCATAGAGAAAAATATATAACACTAAATATATAAAAATAATTTAAGGTTCTTCTAAATTTTTCATGTATAATATTTTTGTACTTATATTTTTTAATTTATTCTTATATAAGGCTCTATTGATCAAAAAAAATAAAAATAAAAAACCACAATGATATAATTAAATTATTATAATAAAAATATAATAGACTAAAAAATAGCAAAAATAGAACGTTAAAAATTTTATCTATGTAACAAAAAAAATGATAATAGTTGTAATAATGATATTTTGCAAAAAATGAAAAAATTAAGGCTTAAGATAATTTAAGTAAAAAAACCCATTAATATAAATAAAATATTAAATTCATAATTATTTTATTATTATTATTTTTTTTTTTTTTTTTTTGAATTATAAAAAGAATTATTTTTAATTGAATTTATTTTTATACGACACGAAAGTTCAATTAATGCAACTTAGATGCATGTTGCTAAAAAATATATTAATGATTTAAAATTAATCAAAATATGCATTTTTTAATAAATTTAATTATTAATTTACTAATATTGAAAAACATACATACAATTAAAAAAATTAATTTTTTTGTTGTATTTTGTTCTATTTTATTATATAAATATTTGAAAAAAATATATTAAAGTGGTTGTAATTTATCCATAAAAGTATAAAACCAATTAATTCATTTCGAGAGATAAAAATATTAGAGAAAAAAATACTTATAAAAAAATTTATTGCTTTGCTTTTATCATTGTATAATAAAAAATATAATCATTAAGTTGCTTTTCAATATAATAAAATCTGAATTTTTTATAGAAATAGTGGCAACATTTATGCAAATTTTTTTAAAATAATTTTTATTTCTTAAAATATAATTTCTTTTATTTTACGTATAATTCTATGACTTTATTTTTTTTCTTATTTTTAAATATAAGAATACAAATACATACAAATTATTCTTGAAATGTTTTAAATCATATAAAATAGATAATTAAAAATATTTTTCACTTAAATTTTTTATTTTAAGAATAAATTTTGAATATGAGTATTCCTAATAAACAAAATAATCTCCTTACAAAAGAAACTTACATAGAAAGCAAAATGAATAAAAATTATTCCTATACGAGTTCATTTAAAAATAAGAAGGAAAAAATTAAAAGTAGAAACAACATAATTCTATATTCATACAAATTTCTTACTTTACTCTTCCTTTGTTTTTCATATATTTTGTTACAGGTAAATAAAAATAAAAACTAAAATTATACATATATATATTTTTGTTTAAGATATTTATTTAAATTAAAGCTACATTAATCTAGTAACCACCTTTAACCAAATAATTATTACTTTATAGATTATGATGCAGCAAAAAAATAAAATTACTTCTGAACTAAATTTAGTTAAAAATAATTATAGGATTATGTACGAAGGGGATGAATTACCAAATAAAAAAGAAAGTAAAGGTAATATAGTTTTGAAATTCTTAGACGATGAAGGTAAAAATGAAGATGAAAATCAAGATGAAAATGAAAATGAAAATGAAGATGAAGATGAAGATGAAGATGATGATGAAGAATTTGAACCTTATAAGAAATTAGTAGATCTTTGGAGACAAAGGTCAACTGATTTCACGGAAATGATTTTAACTATGTGGTATCAATGGAATTGTGGCCGTAAAACTCGCGACATGGATGAAGATTGGAAAGGAAAAAAATTTAATGAATGGCGGGATAAATTTTCTCTAGAATTAATATCGGACGATAAGAAATGTTTAGACGATGTAACAAAAATGGTAAAAGATAAAGTTCCAGTCGAAGCAGTCCAATTATATTGCAATCATAAAAAAGAGTTGTGGGAAACACGTAAAGATCAGATATTAAAAGAATGGAAAATTTTTATACATAATAGCCTTCAAGATTGGGTTGAAGAAAAACATAGAAGAAATAATATAGTATATTATGATGATGATGATGATGATGATGATGATAATCAAGGAGCAGAAATATATGCATAAAAAAAAATACAAGTATGATATAATCAGAATAATGTGAAGAAGGTTAATGATACAATTAACTAGGAAATTGAAAAATTTTAGGTTACTATACTACAATCAAATTCATTATTTACAAAAAAGTGAAGAAGAGTCTTACAATAAACTAAGTTAATTTGGGATTATTTATTATTTAATTAAAATGCATTATCTTATGTTACAAATAAAAAAAAAAAACTAATTAATCCAAATTAATTTTAATTTAAATAAAAGGAAAGTAAACAAATGATAAAAATAACGAGATAATTTAAGGTAATATGAAAGTTTATTTAAAATGAATAATACCTTATTTATATATATTTTTTTTTCTTGTATTCACAAAAATCAAATTTCTTAATGTTTTTGTTGCTATGTATTTTGCTAAACTTACAATTTATATTAGGTATTTTTATTTTCATTAAAGGTATTAAAAGGTATATATTAAATTTATATCATGTTTAGTGGACTTTCATTTTAAATATATTTCATTATATATATATGTAAGTATATATATATAATTTTTTCTACATTGTGTAGATAAATTTGCTTTTATAAATGTTTTAATAGTCTTTCTAATAATATGCAATTTATTTTTTTTATAAATCTACATATGAATATTTGCTCTAAAATTGAAAAATATATTAACATATTTTTTTACATAAAAATTAACTTATATTTATATTATACTGTATATATCATTTTTAAAAAAGCAATATTTGTTAGTTAAAATGAAATTATATATAAATATTTTTTTCTTTAAATTTTTTTTTTAGATAACAAACTTAAATTTTATATTAAAACATGAAATATATAATTTTATTATTTCAATAATATAAAAAAGTAAAATAAAACTATTTAATATAATATTCGTTATAACCTTATGTTTCTAATAAATTATTCATTTCTAATATCAATTTCATTTTTTTATTTATTCTATATTTTTAAATTATTTGTGTATATTATTAATGGATATTTATCATCCATTATAATTTAATAAGACAATATAAATAAAAGATGGCTATACATGGTTTATATTTATGAACTCCACATAAAAAAAAGAAAATTTTGTTTTACTTTTTTTATTCAATAAGTAACTGTTTTAGAAATGGAATATAAATAATTTTCATTTTAAGTTATTTAATATCAATGGTAAAAATTTATATATACCTTTTTGGACTTTTAGGGAGATATAATAGAACATATCTGAGATATAGTTTTACATGCAAAATGATTAAAAAATACTTACTTAAAATGAGTACACGAAAATATGCATATTGAAGAAAAATATTATATCCACGAAAAAGAAAAAAATATACAAAATATAGATATATATTTTTCTTATTTTTGAGAATTTCACTTTTTTTTTTTTTTTGTACAATAATATATTTTATTTTTATTAAATGATTTTGATTTATAATGATTCTTGAATTAATAATAATTTGATATAAAAACCCAATATACATAGTGATCAATTTTTTAAAGTTTTTACACATGTTAAATACTTTCATAACATATAATTCATTCAGGGATTTTAAAATAAATAAATTATTTATTTTATATTATATAATATAGTTATGTATAGATTATATGATTATCTATAATGAATAATTTCACAATAAATAAAAAAAGTAGAGATCTCTATACATTCTCTTTATTAAATTAATGTTCAAAATTCTATAAATTTATTTGAGTAGAAAATTAATAAATCAATTGGAAACAATAGAGAAAATTGAATATTCTGTATAACAATTCAATGGATTAGAAAATTCAAAAATAAAGAAAAAAAATACAAGGTCCCTTGTTTATATATTTAAGGAGATAATATGCTTTAACAAATTTTGTATATTAAATATAAAGAAAGACAGAAAGGTTACTACAGTCTAAATATAAGAAGGTTTGCTAAAATTCAACGAAAGATCGTTAAGATATTATCCTAAGTGGTTTATACACTTAGAGAATAAAGAAAATATATCCATATTATTTAAAATGGGAACATGTATGATTCAGAAGTTGATTTATTAATTGCCATTCAATGAATTTGCTAGTATTGAAAAACAAATTAATAAAGAGCATATAGAGTATATTCTATTTAATTTAATTCTTATTTAATTAAATTTTTAAAACTTAAATTAAATACACTCTCTATTATAATTTGAACAAATACTCCATTTTCAAAAGAAAAAAAAAAATATATAAAATTTTTCTATTTAACATTACCAATTTTTTTTAAAAAAAAATAGAAAAAAATTATCATCATAATATATTATTTAAGTTTGCATCATGTACCAAAAAAAAAATGTGATATATCTTTTTTTTAAAATTGTAAATACACAAACAAAAAAAAAATAAAAATGATTATTATTTATTAAGATTTGTTTTTCATTGTACATACTTTTGAATAACTATTATAGAGTACGAATTTATGATTGTATATTGTCCCAACAATTTAATGTACACCGAATAAAGTGTTTTTATTATATTTATTCATCTAAATATTATATAAAAGAGGTCTATAATATTATTTATAGAACATGTTCTATCATCTTGGGAATAACAATGAGATTATTTTATTCTCTCTAAATTATCTTACAGTTCCGAGCCCTTTTTGTATCTTTTTATTTATCTTATTATCTATATTATCATGTGATTTATATGGTGTTGTAAAATCTCTTTTATTAATATTAGAATGGCTTTTAAGTTCTAAATCACGTATAAGTTTAGACTGTTTCTTATTCCGTTCAATAATTTGCACCATATCTCTTAAATGAATTACATATATTTCTCTAGTCATAATACATAATAATTTTATTTTAAAAAATGAAATTTGAATTTCTTTATCTCTATAGTCCATAGGCTAAGCTATTATCTTTCCATTTTCAATTTTAATTTCTCTACGTAGTAAACACCCATAAGGTTTATATCGGTTATTGTTACTATAATGTTTTAATTAATTTCTGTCATAATCCGATAATTTATATGAAACATTATTTCAACGTTATTATCTTTACTTTATATTAATGGATTCTCCTTCAGTTGGTTCAAATTTTCATACACTTCTTTCTATCTATTCTTTAAATAAATTGTTCTAATTTTTAAAATATTTTCAAGTAGTAATCTTGAAAAACCAAGACATATACCATCAATTTCAAACATAGTAAAATATGGTGTTCCTATTCTAGCTCCGTGAGGTGAATTGTTATATATATATGCTACATATTTCACTATTTTTTCAGTTGACATATATTTTTCTTCATAGATAGTCTTAAGTATGTAATCAAGACTTTTATCAGAGATTTCATTAATACCATTTTCTTAAGAACAATAAACACTTATATAGTATAATTTTATTTGTAATTCTTCTGTAACGTATTTCTGAAATTCTTGATTCACATAAATAGAATCATTATGAATAATAACATTTCTAGGACATCGGAATACAGAAATCCAAGTGTTTCTCACTATAGAAATCGCATTACCAATAGCAGATATCTTTCTATTAATGCCAATAAATGTAAATCGTGAATAATGATCTATAGATGCCTGAACACAGTATTCTTATCTTTTCCATTTTTTTGGTTCAATAATATCCAATGAATCCATGTCCAACTGATTGAGTTTTGATAATACCTTATACTTATTAGGCTTAAATTTTCTATTACGCATTAACGGACAAACTATACAATTTGTAACATACTCCTGAATATCTCGACTAATATTAGTCCATCAAAAATGTTTTAATATTTTCTCTAAAATTTCAATGATTTTTGAATGTCTGGAAAATTTATTACTATAGAACAAGTGAATTAATTGAATCCTATACTTTTCTTGTATATATAACGTGGCACTTTTATAATGAATAGGAAAATCATTTCTCCATATTTCATCTCTAGGAATATTATTCTTTTTTTCTCACACCTCATCAGATATTTATTAAAGGATGGATTAAGATAAGAGTTTTCATAATTATCTAGTAGTTTATTACAAAATAAAGTTATATAACTAGGAAGATTAGTATCATCATATATAGTTCTAATTATTCAATCAGATAGACTATTTTGAATTCCTTTAATATGCTCATGTTTAAAATTAAATTCTAATAACCTTAATTCTCATATATACATTTTTTCAATGTTAATAGAATATATTCCTAAGAGACCTTTATAACCAGTTTTGATCAATGCCATATATCCTTTAACATTATAATCAAATATTTCACAAACTATAACTATGGAAAATAATTCTTTTTCTTTTATACTCCATTTCCATTGAACTTCATTAAGCTTTCTTGATGTATAGTGAATATATTTAGTTTGACCGATATCATCTATTTGGGTTAATACAGCTCTCATAACATAATCAGATAAATCCGCATAAATAAAATATCATTTTCCTGGTTCAGGAAATGACAAATAAGCTATTTATACAATCTTTCTTTTATTTGTTCAAACACTTGAGGATGCTTTACATCTCAAATAAACTTGTTCCTGCTTGTCAATAATAGTATTATCTTAAATGTCCATCATAAAAAATTCTTAATATAATTTCTATAATAATTAGTAGATCCTAAAAATAACCACAACTGATCCTTAGGTCTAGATTGTTCTCCTTTAATTATTATTCTGATTTTATCCAATGAAGGTCTAATTTCTTTATTATCTATATGTCCTAAATGTGTTATAGTTGTTTTAAAATATTCACATTTTTCTACATTTATTCCTGATCTATTATTAGTAGTTTATATACATTTCCTATTATTTTAAAATGTTAATTTATAAAATTTGTTAAAATGATGATGTAAAGAATATATACAATTATATGGTTTTTTCAAATTAATTTTAAAAAGATATTTTTTATTATTCTTTAAAACTGTGTAGGATTACTTTTCAAACCAAATATTAATACATCAAATACAAATGTTCCACGTTTGAGTACTACAAATTCAGTATATTGTTTACTATTTTCATCTAATTCCATGTTTCAATGTC